CAGGCCAAGCCAAGCCAAGCCAAGCCAGGCCAGGCCATGCCGGGCCAGGCAAGCAAACGAGCGGGCAGGGCGGCGCAAGGCTGCGCACAGCGGGGGACTTCCGCGTTGATAGCAGGCTTTCCACGCCCACAATAGAGGCCTCCTAGATGGGGTCGGAGTAATTAGATGTGGTCGAAAGATCACGCCGCATTGCCGATACATCGGCGACGCATCGGCGATGCATCGGCGATGCATCGGCGATGCACCGGCGATGCATCGTCGACGTGGGCGATGCATCGGCGACGTCGACGTGAAGCTAATCGAGCTCAACATCAAGCCGCATTGGCGATGCATCGGCGATGTGGCGCGAACCTCCGACCCCATCTACTCCGACCCCATCTAGGAGGCCTGGGCAGATGGACTTTGGGACTCCCGGCAACGGGAATGAACGCCAGCGCACTCTCCCAGACATCGGGCGTAACGAAAAAATCGGGACGGAATTTTTGTTCGTAGTTTTCGGCCTCTAGAGGCCCTCGCGGGTCTCGGGACCGTCCAAGAACGACTTGGGATGAAAAGCCGATCCTGGGAAGTGGTCGGGAAGTCGGGGGCCCGTGTCTCGAAAAAATCGAAGCGCCGGATTCTGGGCCCGACAACGAAAATGAAGGCCAGCGCACTTTCAGCGTCCCGACTTGCCCGCGAGCCACCGAAACACGCGCGCCAGCCCCTTGCCCATCCCCCCATCCAGGTGCGCATGGACTCCTTCAGCGAGGAAGGGGGCACCCCGCATCAGGAGCTGGCGGGCGGCTGCGCAAACGAACCGCACCAAAAACGCACCGAAAAAGCGGGCGGCCACAGGCGGTCCGCGCAACTGTTTTCCACTGGGCGTGCGCATCGTGCCTGGGAGCGGGAAGCTCGGGGGGGGAGGCGGCAGCTGAGGACGGGCCAGGGGGGCGGAGGCCAGGTCAGGCCAGGCCAGAGGGGCGGACGCCAACGGGGCCCCCACGCCGCTCAATTCAGCGTCCACAGTCCCCTGCGACCAGCATGGCGAGAAGGGTCCGGGACACACGGGTGAACCACAATGGGCGGCGCGCACCGAGGGGTCGGGGGAGGGGGGGGGGAATGCTTCTTAGGAGCAGGCTGCTTCTTGGAAGGCGCCAGCTCCACGTCTGCAGCGCACCTCGGGCGGGCTGGCCCGCAGACCGCTCGCAGGGCCCGTGGGCGCGAGCGGCGGCCTCCGCGTTGTCGCGGGGCCCGGCGCCGCGCACAGGGACGCCAGGCCGGGCCAGGGAGGAAAAACGCACGGCGAAGGAGCCGCCGGCCTCTGCGAGAACGCGACGCCTCCGGGAGCACCCTGGGGTCTCCCGCCCCCAGTATGCAACCACGGCCCCCTAGGCAAAAGTGACCTTCGGTGCGAGGCTCGACGGACGTTGCGCGCGATGCGGGCGGAAAAGATAACGGCCTGCGCGCTCGGGCGTGTCCCCCCCCCCCCCGCGCCCTCCGAACGCCGCGCGCCGGGTCACTTTGACGGAGGGTCACTCTTGCGCGTGGCCAATTCCTTGCTTTCTGCCCTTGGTGCCCGCTAAAGGGTCCCAAGACCATCAAGTGTGGATCTGGGGCGGAAATCTGCCCTCAGGGAACGGGTCGGGAGCTCGGGGCCGTGGATCGAACACAAAAACATGTTGGGGGATGTCTGGGCCTCCTCTGGGCCAGGGAAGCACAGCGTTCCCCAAATGTCCAAACGCACCTGCGTCTCCTCGCCGCGGGCCTGGATGGCCACGCCGCAAATGAGGACATCCTCCCGGCAGAGAAGGCCGAACAAGGGGCAGGATGGGGGGGAATCGCTCAGAGGTGTATCGACCGCTGGCGCTTCCCAGCGCCAGTCCCATCGGTGGACCCAACGCTCACAGCGGAGGAGAAGACGCTGAGGCAGCAGCAGCACGCGGAGCACGTGGAGGTGACAAGTGAAGGCAGCCCTCCGCAGGCCAGAAGACATAGGCACGCACAACAAGGATGGGGAGGGGGAAACGGGGGGGTCAGCGGCGCGCGCCTGCGGGGTGGAGAGGCGGTCGATCATGTCAGCCACGGTCCTCGTCTCCCGGTGTGAAGGGCCCCTCCTCTACTCCTCGTCCTCGTTTCCCTTCCTCTCCTCGTCCACCTCTTCTCCACTCCTCCTCGTCCCCCCTCCCTTCCTGTTCTTCAGCCCCGGGAGGCACCACCTTACCTTGCGAGTCCAATTGCGAATCCCTCTATCCTCCTTCTCCCGCCGCCAGTATCTCCGTTTCCTCCTCCTCCTCCATCCCCCTCCAGCTCCTTCCAGCCGCCTCGTGGAGGAGATGGCACCTTTCCTTTTCCTCCTCCTGCTCCTGCCCCTTCTTATCATTTTCCTGCTCCTCCTGCTCCTCCAACCCTTCCCGTTCTACTTGACTCCTTCCTGTCGCATCACCAGACGTCTTCGTAGGCCAAGCTGGGCATTTCGCCTGACACCCCCTGACAATATAAGATCCCAGCGCTTAAACCTTCCAGCAGTTCTAGGAATGGAAACCCTTGTCCCAAAATCAAGGTCTCGCCTCAACGCCGCGCACCTTCGTCAGAACTTGAAAAGAGTTTACGGACGGAAGCCCAGTCGTTTTCCGAAAGTGCTCCCGCTTCAGCACCGCGTACGTTCGCCGTGTACAATGTTTTGGCAATTGCATGAACGGGAACCAACCATGTTTCAAATGGACTCTCTCTTCAGCGCAGCGCGCATTCGTTGTCAACGATCGCAACAATTACACGAGTGCAGTCGGGTTCGTCTTCAACATTGCTATTCGTTCCTTGTGCACTTGTCGACATCTCTGCGGATGGATACAAAGTACTTTGTCCCTTCTTGCTACTCACATGGAGGAAGGCTCGTTTTCAAAATGGGGCTCTCCCCAGGGATTTCACAAACACGTTGCAAACCGATGGCTTGCACATGTGCGCATACGCACTAGCTGCACAGATGGAGTGCGGCTGGTTTTCAAAATCGATTCACCGCCAATTACAAACAGACGTAACGGCTTCTGCGCAACAGCTACACGCATGGGGGGAAGGGGGCAGTTTCCTTCTTATCAAGACGGGGCTCTCGCTTGACACATCGGTGATGATTCCACCAAGTCTTCCTCCCGAATGCTCGCTAGACGGATGCGCTGCCAATCCTTCTCGAAACGGGGCTCTCACCAGAGCATAAAGCATGTAGGGTTTTCGTTTTTCCGCGGGGACCCTGCTTGTAGTGAGGATGAGACCCGTGTAGGGACATGTCTTTTGATGTGGAATGTGCGACTGGAGGGTGTCTCACAGCATCGTTGCTGAATAGTTCCAGTGTCCACTTTGAATCAACGATGCTGTAATAAACCCTTCCACTCCTCCTCTTCCTCCATTGCCTCCCCGTCCTCCTCTTCCTCCCATTCCTCCTCGTAGACAGGCCCTCTGGGGTGGTCCTCTTGTGCGAGTACGAGTGTCGCGAGTACTTGAAGGAGAGGAGCACGTCGTGCTCGTTGCGCCAAGGGCTGATCACGACGCCGCTCACGGTCTCCAGCGCCTCGTCGTCGTCGTCGCTGCCGTCGTCGTCGCCGTCCTCCTCCTGCTCCTCCTCCTCCTCCTCTTCCTCCTCCTCCTTTTCCTCCTGCTGTCACCCACACGTTTGGCGGCGGGTCACTTACGTCCCAATGTCGTGCGCCCGCGGCCCACCGCCAAGGGGCCGAGGAGCAGGGCAACACCCATCCACCTGGAATTCCCCCACCCTCCCATCCAGCAACCATCCCCGCCAGCGGGAGTGGTCGTCGCTCCACTGCTACGTTGTCGGCGCTGCCGCGGCCGTCGGGCAACACACCTGGAACAGATGCGGGCGGAAACGCTCAAGGACGGAGGGACATCGGCACCCCGTGCTCCACTTCCTCTTCTCCTTCGTCCCTCCTCCCCCCTTTTCCTCCTCCTCCAACTTCTCCTCCTCCTCCTCCTCGTCCTCCTCCTCCTCCTCCTCCTCCTCCTCCTCCTCCTCCTCCCCCTCCTCCTCCCCCTCCCCCTCCTCCTCCTCCTCCTGCCATCATCCTGCACTCTCCATCATTCTCAGCCTCTCACTTCTTCCCCGCCACCCCCTCTGTCCCCCTTGGGCCCGTCCTTTTTTTTCTTATCATCCCCCCTCTCATCAGAATCATCCGGCACCGCCCCCCTACCTTCCCCCTCGTCATCATCCCATCCCTCTTCGTCCTCCCCGCCCGTTCCCTCGCCCTCCTCCGCCCGCTCATGATTGTCCTCACCTCTGCTTTGTTCGACACCCTCTCCTCCTCCTCCTCCTCCTCCTTCTCCTCCTCCTCCTCTCTTCTCCTCTTCTCCTCTTCTCCTCTCTCCCTCTTCTCTCTTCTCCTCTTCTCCTCTTCTCCTCCTCCTCCTCCTCCTCCTCCTCCTCCTCCTCCTCCCCGTCCTCCTCCTCTTCCTCCTCGTCCTCCTCCTCGTCCTGGCCAGCATCTTCCTGGCGCAGGGCCAGGTGAGACACTGGCAGCCCTGCTCCTCCCCTCTCGGCACGACCGCCGATATCTCAACTGGCCCGCCGCCGATCATCCTCAACCCTGCCTTGGTGACAGTACTCAGGCTCACGTCCACGCCCCACTTCGCGGGCACCGCGCCGTACCTCTGAAGGGCCCTCCAGACGCCGGTGGCGACCGCGCTGACCATCGCGAACATGCTTACGCTCTGCCCGTCCTCCTTTTCGACGGCCAGGCTGGCGACGTTGTACGCCCCGATTACCTCTGTCACGATCTCCAGCCCTCCTCCTCCTCCTCCTCCTCCTCCTACATCCCTTCTGCATCCGTTCATCTGATCCTCATCGGCTTCCTCACTCTATCCCTGCCGTGCGATCACGACCACGTGTTCCCCTCTCCCGTTTGAAAGCGCGATCTGCCTCTCACTGTCTCTCACTCTCACACTGTATCTTCTCTCTCTCTCTTTCTCTATTTCTCTCTCTCTCTCTCTTGTTGTTGGTCTATCTGTCTGCGTGCCTGTATATGACAGCAGTGCACAAAGAGGAGGAAAGATTAACACCAAATGGAGGACAGCGACGGACAAGCCATACATCAGAACGCGAGCCCACGAGGCACGCAGGCAGAAGACGCAAACGGATAAGCAACACATGGATAGGAAGAACAGGCAGAGAGGGACGCCATGTCTCCTCCCCCTGCGCCAACCCCTCTCCACCACCCCATCCATTGCCCCCCCCCTTCCTCCCGCCTCCCACCGCCCTCCGCCTCCCCTCCATCTTCTTATCCTTCGGTATCCTCCAGCCTCCTCCCTTTCTCCCGCTCCTCTTCCTCACCCCTTAACTCCTCCTCCTCCTCCTCCTCCTCCTCCTCCTCCTCCTCCTCCTCCTCCTGGTGACCTCCGCTATGGTCGCCAACCAGAAGGACGGCCCCGACGACATGACCTGGTCCGTCATGAGGTAGCCGTAGCCATCGGCCTGCCCGCTCCAGATCGACTGCTTGAGGACCCCCGCCAGCCCGTTGCCCGTGATCTTGTCCATCAGGTTCCCTCCTCGGGTGGAGCCCACGAGCCCTCGCGCGGCGGCCTCCCGCACCCCATCCGCCCCCACCACGCCTCCGACCGCTTCCCCGCGGCCCCTGCGCCTCGTGGAGCTCCTCCTCGCCACCCTGCTCACTGTTTCTTGCGCAGGCTGCAGGGCGCAAGCACCCGAGGCGAAAGTCTGGGTCCTCCTCCTCCTCCTCCTCCTCCTCCTCCTCCTCCTCCTCCCCCTCCTCCTTCTCCTCCCCCTCTTCCTCTCCTCCTTCTCTCTCCTCTCTCCCCTCCTCCTCCTCCTCCTCCTCCTCCTCCTCCTCCTCCTCCTCCTCCTCGTCCTCCTCCTCCTCCTCCTCCTCCTCCTCCTCCTCCTCCTCCTCCTCCTCCCTCCTCTCTCCCTCTCTCCTCCTCCTCCTCCTCCTCCTCCTCCTCCTCCTCCTCCACCTCCTCCTCGCCCTGTTGCCCGCGGACTTGGCGCCCCTGGCGGCTCCGCGAGGACCTCCCTGCAGCGAGCGGCCCTTGCTCGCCCCTCCGCCTCGGGCAAACTTCCCTGTAGAGGCCGGCCCAAGACACGACACGGCACCTCTGACTCTTCTTGCTCCCCGTTCTCCTTCTCCTCCTCCTCCTCCTCCTCCTCCTCCTCCTCCTCCTCCTCCTCCTACTCCCCGTCCTCCTCCTCCTCCTCCTCCTCCTCCTCCTCCTCCTCCTCCTCCTCCTCCTCCCCGACCTCATCCTCCTACTCCGCCTCCTCCTCCTCCTCCTCTTTCTCCTCTTCCTCCTCCTTCTCTTCGTCTTCCTCCTGCTCCTCCTCCTCCTCATCCTCATCCTCCTCCTCTTCCTCGTCCCTGTCACATGTCGTCAAGCCCTCAGGGACTTCTGCTCCTTCTCCTCCTCTGCCTCCCCCCTTGGCCAAACGATCTTACACGGTCCCTTGGTGGGTGGCTGACAACTTGCCATCGCTCGGACGTCCATTCCCCGTGCATGTGTCGTTTCCGTGCGTGATTTTTTCCCGATGATCCAGGATGCTTCCCGATGGTCCTCGGCCTGAAAAAATGCACACGTTCGAGCAATGCCAAGATAATGGGATTTCGCGGTGCGGGCTCCTCGTTTTGCACGAGCCCGCCCCGCGACCCACACCCACGACCAGCCTCGCGAGCCGCCCCGCGACCCATCCGCGTGTCACCCGCGGCTCGCCACGCGATTCGCGCCCCCCGACCCGACGACGACCCAATTGCGACCCGCCCACATCTTCATGTCCCCTGAGATCCTGGCGTCTCGATTTTTTCGAGCCGAGCGTTTTCGCCTGGCTTCGGGCCCCAGGACCCTCTCAGCTCGAACCAGTTCGAAGAATGGCGCAGCAAGACGGGGTCTGGGGCTCCGGCCGTGATGTTTTACGATGCCCCATGTTTTTCGCGCCGTCGGGCCTCAGGGTTAGGTCGGGCCTGTCCCCCTACAGGGGGGTTTTGGACGCGAAATTTAAAAAATCAAAAAATGCTCGGAAAGGATGCCCAGAAATACTCAAAAAAATAGTCCCCAGACCATTGTTTGACTATTTTTGAATATTCCCCCTGTAGAGGGACAGGCCCGACTTAACCTCAGGGTCTAGAAACTGGTGCCGGCGGCGGGCTTCAGCATCAGATCTGCTTTCGAAGCTCGCTGACGCTGGGTCTAGGCCCCAGCGGAGGACCACATCCTCGCTCGGCTCTGGCCTCGGGTCTGGGTGGCCTTGGACTGGGTATGATCACGGCGCCGAGGGCGCACTTTCTCGAGGGTGGCGGGGCGCCTGGTTTCTGACTCAGGAGCATCGACCTGCCAAAATGGCGCTCAGAGCCAGGCTTCTCCGTGGTTGGGTCGGAACCCAGCGCCCGATCAACCACACAGAGGAAACAGCCAGTGCGCGAATAACATTAGACAGGAAAAGAAGCCCGCTATGGAACAGAGGAGTGCACAAGGGCAAAGGTTCCCCAGAACCTCCCACGCTGCTGCTTCTCACCCATGTCATCCTGCCGTTCCAGTTTGCCGGGAAGGCGTCGGCTCACGGCTGCGCGCAAGGCGATGCTGGGCAAGAGTGACCTCGGATGCACGGCACCACAGGGGGGCGCGGGGGGTGGCCACACCCAGGCGCGCAGGCCTCCGCTGCCGCATCACATTCGGCTGTCGGGGGGCCGCAGTGAGCCCGCACCAATGGCCCCTCTGGCGAAAGGTTCACTGTTGCGCCCAGTCGAGGTTCTCCCTGAGCTCCCCACGAGCCAGTAAACCACGACTCCATCATGTCACCATCGGAGGTGCCCCACGTGTTGTAGTCCGCCGGCCCACCTCTGCCGGGGATGTCGAGGCATGCGAGACGTCTGGCTCATGTTCGTTCCCCTACTACCCCCTCTCAACGGGTCTCAAATCTCAGTGTGAAGGGAATATGATGTGGGAACAGACCAGCATCCATTGCCTCCCTTCCAGGTGTGGCCCCATCGAACCTATGGGTGCCAGAGGCGGAGGGAGGATGGCTGGAAGGAAACATCGCCAATCGATATTTTGTTTCAACGCCGTCCACCTGGTACGATGAGGCTCATCGGCACGGCGTGGCTTGGACGATCTAAGATCGCAGGAGGTCCAGAAACCCTCTCTGGCATGAAAGAGACGGATCCTGAGGGAAAGGCGCCCAGGACCCCAGAGGTCTTCGGCCCATTCAAATGGGCTCGGGGACACACGAATGAAAGACACACACATCCCGGGATTTCCAATCTTTCTTCATATGTTTTCGGAGCGTCGTCTTCCCCTGAATGACCCCAGTAGGCCGACAACGGGGGGAAGCACAAGCTCAGGACTCGCCTCTCTAAAGACCTCTGACTGTCGGCCTGGCAGTACACCTGGTGGGCTTGTTGCCCACCGCCACCACCATACGTAGGAGGGGGAGGGGGTCCTCCTCCTCCTCCTCCTCCTCCTCGTCCTCTTCTTCTTCCTCCTCCTCCTCCACCTCCTCCCCCTCCAACTTATGGTGGTGGTGGTGGAAAACAGGCCCATCAACACCTGTGCAATCAACGCTTGGAAAAAGGACGCGCGCAAGCGCACCACGGCAGTGCCTCGGGGAGCGCGTGCTTGCTGCTTTGCCTCCGCGAGGCGCAAGGGGCAACGATGTGTCTGGAAAGAGGGAGGGGTCGGGAGCTGTGTGCCACCACGCCAGTGTTGCCGATGCGCCTTCCAGGCGCCGCTCCTCCTCCTCCTCCTCCTCCTCCTCCCCCTCCCTCCTCCTCCTCCTCCTCCTCCTCCTCCTCCTCCTCCTCCTCCTCCTCCCACCCTCCTTTCTCCTCTCACCTTCCTCCTCCTCCTCCTCCTCCTCCTCCTCCTCCTCCTCCTCCTGCTCCTCCTCCTCTCCATTTGGGAAGCCGCTCCGACAATGCCCCCCTGAGGCCTCCACAGTTGCCCGCGAGAAGGCCTTGGGCCCAGAGGCCCCGAGAGCGCCTCCGAGAGGCCCTTCGGCCCACGACCTGCAGGCACGAGGGGGGCGGACCGGGCCGAAGGCCACGAGATAGGCGATGAGGTACGCAGAGCCCACCTGAGGCAGAACTCTGCACGGGCATATGTCGCCGCGCCGCTTGTCCTCAACGCGCCCAAGAAGGACGGAGCCGACACCACGGCAAACCCACGGCAAACCCTTCGTCCCGCGCCCCAGGTAGACGACGCCGGCACCGCGACAAACCCCACGGCAAACCCACCGCGCCCGAGGCGGCGTTTGCCCTGGTGGCCGCGGCGCCCACCCCCAATACGGAAGGCCGCGCGTCGGATCAGACGGCGCGGCGACATATGAGCTTTGGGGGCCCTGCGCGGATTTCTCGGGTCGGCACTCCCCTCCGCGCGCGGAGCGCGCCAGTGGCAGGCTGTGGAGGCACCGCCAGAGGTGCCCAGCGCCGATCCAGGAAAGCCTCGCGGACCTCCGAAATTTACGGTCAGGAGCGTTTGCTCAGCGCGTTGCGGCGGCCCCAGCGACACGCAGCGCCATGCGAGCGGACAGCGTGTCGCTCAGCTCCGCGGGGCGGGAGGCCAGAAAAGCTCGGGACGTTGACAATAGGAGACCGCGACGTGGATAGCGTGTCGCGGCGAAACGCGGTGGGCCAGAACCGGCGGAGCGAAACACTGAGCGAAAATTCCTGACCGTAACGCCTGTGCCGCCTGCTCTCGGCTACTCGCAGGGAGTGACCCTGGGCAAGGGTGACCTCTGGTGCGCGGACAGCAGCTGGACCTGGGCCAGAAGAATATCCCATACGCGAATGGGACTTTCCGCCGGCCAAACACACAGAACATGCAAGGGTACCCTCCCCAGGATGCGCAAGAACATCCAACAAGCACGAAGAACATTAGGGTACCCTTTCCGAATCGGCCTCCATCTTATATACCTCGGTCCGACTGTAAGGGGGCGCAACGTGGCCAACTCCAAGCGCGCAAGCAACCGCTATCGCATCGAGCTCAGCGGTCAAGGGGACCCCGATGAACCCGCACCAGGGGTCACTCCGGAGGGTCACTCTTACGTGTAATCGATGATCTCCCTCTCGGCGACGAGCAAGGGGGGGAAGTGAGAAGGAGAAGGCCTTCTCGGAAGGCGGCGGGGCTCCCCAGAAGCCCCCCCCCCCCCCAGACATCCGACATGCCGATTTTTTCGAGACACGGGCCCCCGACCTCCCGACCACTTCCCCAGGGCCAGCTTTTCGCCCCGAGTCGTTTTTTGACGGTCCCGAGCCCCGGCGAGGGCCCCGAGAAGCCGAAAACGATGAAAAACCTCCGTCTAGATTTTTTCGAGACGCCCGATGTCTGGGCCCGGCCTTCTGACAGGCGTCCCGTGCCCTCGGGAAGGCTTAGAGAGCACCCCTCGGGGAGGCAGGAGGCCTCCCGGGCCTTCTGGGAAGGCCCGCCACGTCTGGCCCTCCCCCCCTGGGGCTCGCTGCCGATTCTCCAGGGGAACGAGAAATGACGTAAGCTGAAGTCGGGCCTGTCCTCCTACAGGGGGATTTTGGGGACAAATAGAAAATAGTCAAAACATACTTCAAACATGGTCAACAAATACCCCCAAAATAGTCCCCGGACTATTTTTTGAACAATTGTTGCATATTCCTCCTGTAGAGGGACAGGCCCGACTTAGACGTAAACCAAGGACTCGGGGATGGGCAGAACCCCTTTTAGTAAAACGTGGTTTAATGAAAACGACCTCGGGCCCAAACCTGGCGGGCGCAAACCTGGAAGATGACGGCCGCGGCACCCTCTCGAGAACCGAAGACGTACAATTCACTAATCGACGTGTCAGTGTGGGGATTTTGTCCACCCCCGAAAAAAACGCGGAGGTCCGCGCGGATTTCTCGGATCGGCGTTGGACCTCCCTCCCTAGCGCGCGGAGCGTGCCAGGGGCGGCGCCGGAGGCGCCGCCAGGGGGCCCCAGCGCCGATCCGAGAAATCCGCGCGGAGCTCCGAGTTTTTATGCTTATGTCATTGTTCGCTTCCCTGTTCTCTTTCTCGGCCACCAGCTCCCACTCCACGGAGACCGCGTCCCCGCTGCCGCGCTGGCAGCGCACCAGCAGCAGCGAGACCCCGGGCGGGTGGAGCCTCGCGCCGAGGCAGTTGGTGCGCCGCACCTCCCGGCGGAGCACGGGGAGGCAGCGGGCCAGAGGGTGCAGCCAACGATGCCCAGCAACGAGCAGCCCCTGGAGGGATCGGCGACGGGTCTCGCACGACTCCCACAGTGCCGACCATGGGCTGAGGCGACCCGCATCAGGCGTGGAGGCTGCACGAACCCTACCCCCGCCGCCCATGGAGCTGCCTGAACCAGGTAGGGCCCCAGACCCCAGACATGCGACGTCCTGATTTGTTTCTCATGCGGTGGGCCAGAGGGGCTCCCGCCAGCCCAAGCAGAATCAAACTGCACAGGTGATCGGAGGAGGACAAGGTATCCATAGCGCTCCCCTTCGCCCGTTTTCCCCTTTTGAGGCCTCCTGGGAGCCCCTCGTCGCAACCGCCAGGTTAATCTGGAAATCCTAATCAGAACGCACCCTGGGAGAGGTCGGGCGAGTAGCGGTACTGGTACCTTGTGGTTTTTCCCCAGGTGGTACTCCCGTCGCGGAGTAAAACAAGCACGACGTCAGGTCGTTGGTCAGTTTCGGCCTCTGGATGGGACTGTCAACGAGCGGCTCAGGATAAAAACTCGGTCCCAGGGATGGGTAAAGTCCTCCAGGGGCCCAAGTGGTTGAAACACATCACGACGCCGAAAGGACTGGGGAGGAGGACACGAGTTAGCCTAGGGTGCAATGCAATGAAGGTTTGAGCATCGAGAGCATTCGACGTCTCATCTTTTGGTTCTCCTCCTCCTCCTCCTCCTCCTCCTCCTCCTCCTCCTCGTCATGACGGCCGGGCGCTCCTCGACCTCCTGTTCACACTGCGCCCCCAGGGGCGGTCCGTGGGCTGGTGTCCAAGGAGGCGAGCGAGGGGGGAAACTGAGAAGGAGAAGGCCGTCTGGGAAGGCGGTGGGGCTTCTCAGAAGCCCTCGGGCCGTCTGCGACGTTTTCGGTGTCTTCGGGGAAGGCCCAGAGAACTTCTAAGAAGGCCGTGGGGCTGCCGAGCCTTCTGAGAGAAGGCCCGCCCCCTCTCACTTGCCCCCCGGGCTCGCCGCCGAAGGACGTCCAGCGCGTGTCGCTGAAAGGCTCCACGGGTCGGCGGGAGGAACGCCTCTGATAACACGGCAGGGAGAGCGTGGGGTGGCAGGGATAGCAACACGGCAGGGATAGCGTGGGGCGGCTCCCCGGCAAGGCTTCGCATTGCGCACAGACAGCTCCCCCCTCAGGCAATCCCAGCTGGCCCGAACAAGCGCCCGAGTCCGGGGGGGCGGTCTCAACGCATCTACCCTGCGCGCGGAGCGCCTCAGGGGCGCCGCCGGAGGCGGCGCCAGAGTGCTTAGGCCGCCCCAGGTTACTCGGAAGGCCTGCTGATGCCAGCTGGGACTTCTCGGGGGCCTGTTGAGG